CCCCCCCATGCACACACACCTTTTTTCACTAAATAACACTTATCATCACTTTACTCTCTTTAAGGACACCTTACAGATGTAACAGACACGTATGTCCGACCTGTAGGACACCAAAAGCAATGCTGTGCTACATTTTGAACCACATGATACACACATCAAAGACCCAACTTGCGTAGTTCATTTTATGCGTGTTGTTGCTTGCCTGTCAAAGTTTAAGATAAAAAAAACAAAATCCAAGAATATGTTTAAATAATATAGGAATGACCCATATCAGCCACACAGCACGTCTTCAAGCGTTATGGAATGACCAGAATACTTTTTCTCAATGAACTGAGGGCTCTCATGGTCAAGAGATTACGGTGTTGGCCTTTCATTCAATAGGTCCCAGGTTCGAAACGTAACAGTGACGGATACATTTTTTCTATGAAATTTCCTACTTTCACTTTCACCTCCTTTCCTGCTCTCTAACCATGTCTGCTTTCGTCTCCACTTTCTGCCCCCACCCCCACCCTCCTCTGGGCTCCTGACTTTTGCTGCTATCTTTCCACTACTACTCGTTGGCTCCTTCTTACTGCTGTCTTAGGGTAGGTATGATCTATCGCCTAGCTTTCTCGGAGGTCCCGTGTGTAAGTTGCGCAACTTGAAGATCCCTTGGTGGTCCAAAATCGATTATAGTAGATTTCGGCCGCAAACCTGGCAAAATTCAGAATTAATTCCTACCAAACTAAAAATGTTTAATATGCCTCGGGCGCTCATATGACTTTGTGCAGTTGCGAGCGCTGTAAAACACTTACAAAAAAACAAACATTTAATGAACTGATATGCCTCTCTTTCCCCACCATAACCAGGAGCTCATGTGTGATCGACGTGGTGACATTCCCGTTCGATGTCCAGGAGTGCAAGCTCAAGTTCGGCTCCTGGACCTACGACGGCAACTTGGTGGATCTCAAGATTCTCATAAACGACACAGGCCATGACGAGGGCGAGATAGACATAGGAGAGTACGTCAAGAGCAACTCATGGGAGATACTTGGGGTACGTCACCAACAACAATTGTTGGGTTTTTTTCCTTTTGGGAGGGGTTTGTTTTGTTGTTGTTTTGTTTTTTTTTGTTTTTTTGGGTTGTTGTTTTTTGTTTGTTTTTTTGTTGTTGTTTTTTGTTTGTTTTTTTGTTGTTGTTTTTTTTTTGTTACTTTCTTTGCTTTGCTTTTCTTTTCATTTGTTCTACATACGATGAATCTTTGAGGGCCATCGGTGTCTGCAGTGTAACTTTTAGGCGCTTCTCTGTCGTACACAGGAGGTCCACGTTCGATTTCTGAGTGAAGATAATTTTGATCGAGTGTCTCGATCTTCCTGCTGGAAAATTGTATCCCTCTCGGGCTAGATTGGACATGACAGGCAGGATCAGAAACCCGCTTCCAATGACATTAATTGTGTCGATGGTGGCGTAAAAATGCCTACATTAAAAAAAGATATGATGGATCTATGAAAGTCAGTGCGCTGTTGACACTTTATAATGTCTTCTTTTTTCAAGAATTTCTCTACTGTGTGACGGGTCATTTAAGACTAGTGAGAATTTGACACAATATAAAGCTCGAGGGTACTCCCTTTTCCAGAATTTCTCTGAGGTGTGATCGGTCCATTAAGGCGAGTGCACTTTTGAGACTTTATGATGCGGTTTATTCTGAATCCCCCCAAGGTGTGTTAGTCCTTTAAATGGAGTGCACTTTAGCTGCACCGTTATGGCCTCTATTATTGAGAATGTCTCTTTGATGGAGTTGGTCCTTTAAGACTAGTGCACTTTTAGCACACAAAAATGTCCTATATCCGGAACATTTCTGAGATGCAACAAATCCATAAACTGTTTTACTTCTCTTCCATAAAACACACCCAACAACGTCCTGATTAAAATTATGATTAAGCTCTTTGATGTTGTTTTTTGTTTGTGTGTTTGTTTGTTTTGTTTTGAAGGGTTTGTGTGTGTGTGGGGGGGGGGGGGGGTGGGGGGGGGTTGTTTTGGATTGTTTTGTTTTTGGCCACAGAAAATGTGAGTTCGATTCCTGTGTGGGAAAAGTCTATTTCATCTTGTATCCCAGTCTTTGTGTTATGATGCTGTATCCCACTTTACCCAGTTTAACTCCAAGAGTCGGGGAGTCCAGATAATAATAAACTCTAAACCGTGGATAAATTCTGGAATCAAAGACTTAATCCATATAAAGAAAAAGGCTTTTAAAAAACATGACAAAACAGCACTTAAAGTCATAGACAAAGCTGTTAAGAAAGAAATCTGGGTTGAAAAACAAAAATATAAGAAGAAACTGGACGATCTGTTTCGATCAAATAACTCTCGTGAGACATGGACTGGGCTTAAGACCATAGTGGGCTACAAAATTAAACCAACAAACATAATTATGTTTTTACAACGAAGAGAGGTAAGCAAATCAACTTAATGCCATTTTCTCCCGTTTTGACAAAGGCAGTTCGTGTGACTTGCCATGTATGAACACCGACACAAATGAAAATAATGTTGTTGTTGTTCAAGAACGTGAGGTTAGATGTTTGTTTGGACGTGTGAATGTGAGAAAAGCGTGTGGCCCAGACGGTGTGCAACCCAAAATTCTAAAAATTTGTTCAGCACAACTTAGTTCTATTTACACTTATATTATCAACCAGTCGTTGCTGACACATGTTATTCCCACTTTTTGGAAATGTTCTGAAATCGCCCCCCTTCCAAAAAAAAAATTACTGAAATGAATGACCAATAGCCTTAACATCCGTAGTTATAAAATGTCTAGAGAAAATTGTGCTAAAAAGACTATGAACATTCGTAGAACCCACCCAGGACCCTCTACAATTCGCATGTCATCTCGAGAGAAGTGTGAAAGAAGCCATTTTACCATTTCTTCACAACATATATAGACACTTAGACTAGCCAAAAATATACTGTAGGATCCTGTTTCTTGATTTTTCGTCAAGAAAACGTTGGTGTTAATGTCAATTTAATATCATGGATAGGCAATTTTCTTACCAACCGAACCTAGTATGTAAAATTAAAACATTCCTCGTCGACATACATCACAACAAAATACAGAGGCCCCTCAAGGATGTGTTTTGTCACCAGTTTTATTCACACTATCAACGATCGATTGCCAAATAAACAAAAGTAACATCAAGTTGATATGATTCAACCATAATTGGGCTAATTCAGGCTGAACATAACGAAACCGCTTACCAGAATTTTGTACTTAACTTTTCTGAATGGTGTGAAAATCATAAGCTGCTTTTAAATGTGAAAAAACAAAAGAATTTGTTGATTTTAGAAAAAAGAAACTGCCCCTGTAGCCACTCGAAATTAAATGTGAAGACATCGAGCAAGTGTCAGACTATAAGTATTTGGGTGTTACAATAGACAACAAACTCAACTGGCGTGTCCACACTTCTCTCCTGCATAAAAAAGTGAACAGAAGACTATTTTTTCAAAGGAAGCTCATGTGTTTTAAAGTTGATAAAACCTTGATGTCCATATTCTATCATTCAACCATTGAAAATATGGTCAATTTTTGTATAACAGCATGGGCCGGGAACACAAGACAACAAGATAAAGAAAAATTAAATCTAGTACGGAAAGCATCTACATTCCCCTGCTTGGATGAATAGTATGTAACAGCTTGCACTAAAAAAAATAAAGTCCTTCTTTTTAGACAACAAACGTCCCTTGTTCTCTAAAATAAAAACATCAGTCAGAAGTAAAAGACCTAGGCTTCTGATCTGTAACAAAGACAGATACAGAAGTTCATTTTTACCATCATCCATCAAAATTCATCTATCTTTACCATCTTGTATAAGTATCCATACGACCTTAGAGCATGCACCAGAATAGCATTGAGTATGTATCTAGTTTAAGATTATTATTGTTTATATTGCTGTTCATGTATATTATGCATGTGATTGTAAGCGTGCATGTGTGTGCATGTGTGTGTGTATGTGTGTGTGTGTGTGTGTGTTTGTGTGTGTGTGTGTGTGAGTGTGTGTGCACGTGATGAAACACCAAACCAATGTGCAAGGATCTGGACAATAAACGTATCTTATCTTATCTTAAATCGATAGTAAAAAACAAATTGCACTTACAATGCTCATTTTCACTTAGACGAGATGCTCTACGTGCTTTACGATGAAATAAGTAAGGCAGACACTTACGCAATCTAGAAGAATTGGCGAAAAACATGTAATAAAAAGATTATCCAATGTTCAGCATACTCTTCTACATGATCTATATTGTACCTATGGATGAGTAAGGTTACAACATGTTCTAACCGGTTTTGTTTTGGATTTTCTTTCAGCACCCGGCCAAACGGAACGTTGAGCTGTACACCTGCTGTCCCAACCAACCGTTCATCGATCTGTCTTTCACCATCATCTTCCAGAGGCGAGCCACCTTCTACAACTACATCCTCATCCTGCCCTGTGTGCTGCTCACCTCGCTCACCCTCGTGCTCTTCTGGATACCGCCCGAGTCGCCAGCCAAACTCATGCTGGGTACGTCATCTTGGGGAATCTGTTCCTATCTCTGTTTTGTTTCTGTTCCCTCTACCTGTCTGTTTGTTTGTCTATCTGTATGTCTGTCTGTCTGTCTGTATGACTGTTTCTCTCTCTCTCTCTCTCTCTCTCTCTCTCTCTCTCTCTCTCTCTCTCTCTCACACACACACACACACACACACACACACACACACTCTCTCTCTCTCTCTCTCTCTCTATCTATCTCTCTCTCTCTGTCGATCTCTCTGTTTGTCTGCCTGTCGGCCTGTCTGTCTGCCCTGCATCTGTCTCTATCCTTTTGCGTGTGTGACTCCCTCTCTCTGTCTCTCCCTTGTTCTTTCTTTCTCTTACTACTTCTCCCTCTCCCTTCTCTCCCCCTCTCTGTCTCTCTCTGATAACACTAAATGCATTTACCACTGCGTCCCCTCTGTGTGTCACCTATGTATCACAGTATCACAGCAGGGCTAGGAATTGACTTTCTAAACATATTCTTCTCTCCAATGACTGAAGTAATAATTGTAGAAGTTTTACGTCCTCGTTGATTTTCTTTCCTATAGTTCTATAGACTTGTAATAAGTGATCTGATAAAAAGCCGTTGTTTCATAACAAAATATAATAATTCTTATCACTCTCTTCTACAGGTATCAACATCTTTGTGGCGTTTTTCCTGTTGTTGTTACTGATGGAAGCCAACTTGCCTCCGTCAGCCGCCAAAGTGCCTCTTTTAGGTGAGTCACAGTGTGCTTACTCGGTGCCAGACTAAACTGAATTACGGGGAATCTCAGTTCAAAACTTCGCTATGACGTTCTTGGGCGTTGGGCTTTTCATGAATTTAACTCTTTAAAGACGTAGTGAACACCAATGTGTCACGACATGGTGGAATCAGGTGCTCGTCATTTTTTTTTTAAATTTACAGTTTGTTATAATTTGTCTTGCGTTTGATGAAAAGACAGCCTCGTCTATCTTGAATAGAAGTTAAGATATATGCGATGGAAGAAGGTGGTGTAACCTGTGTCAGCAAAGTTTAGTGACTTTCAAAGCTTGAGTATCCTTGGTACTGCAGATTAACATTTGTGTGCCTTTGATGAACGTTTTGCAGTAAAATCCTCCCATAAATGTGTTTTTAAATTGAAATAAAAGTTGTCAAGTCCAAAAACAAACGATGAAAATTGCCCAACGAGCGGGAAGATGCCGGTTTCTTCGATTTCCTTATTTTGACGAACGTCTGATTTCACAACGGTGCCACACATCTGTCCGATCAGCAGCAGTAGACCAAAAGCAATGTTGCAAACACATTTCGAACCATCATACACATCAAAAACACTAATTTTATATTGCCATAGTATACGAGTTGTTGCTCTTGTCTTTTTACGTTTCAGATATAGAAATCCGGATGGGAATATCTGTAAGGATATTGAACTTATATCTGGAATGGCGGTGCGGTGTCAAACCGCCCGGTTCCAAACCTTTTCCCACTAGTTACCAGCTCTCCTGGCCCAGCAGATCACAAATGAAATAGACAGCACGTTTTTGGCACAGCAAGTCAGGAGAGGTCATGAAAACAGTCAATCGGGAGTAACCATTCCGCTGTTGTTGCATTTACTAGTTCATATTCATGAAGCAGTTGGTAGGCAAACGCTCTAGTGCGCTCCGATCCGGCTGCTTTTTTCTGTTTTTATTTCTTGATATGGTCCTCGGGAAAAGTAATCGTCTTCAGGATAACTCGACATGTGCTACAACTCATCATCTTCGAACTTAAGAATTGTTCTTTGCATGACATTTAATGCCCACACGCTCTGGTGATTTTACCCCTAGTGTGTCTAACACGGCATTACGTTTCTTTCAATGCTGTGTGGCTTCCCATGATGCACCCATTACATTTTTTTCGATTCCGATGATAAAGTCCCACATACTCATCTCTTTAGATACCATAATTATAGCAACAACAAAAAAGCTTGGCTTCTGGTGTTCATTATTGTTTTTTATTTCTGTTTCAGGGACTTACTATTGCTTAAATATGGTCCTCATTACGCTGTCATCATTTCTGAATGCCTTTGTCGTGAATCTTTCCTTCTTCGGAGCCCGGAGACCCCTGCCACACTGCATGAGGATGGTGAGTACACACAGCTCTTGGTGTCTTATGTTTTACAACAGTATCTGTAGTGTAGTGGATAGGCGCTTCGCCGTTGTGCACAGAAAGCATGTGTTCGGGGGTGGGGGGACTTTTTTTCGGGTATCTCGTGGGGGGGGGGGGGGTTCAAGCATGTTGTATCCATCCCTCTCATCCAGAGTTGTCCCAGGCGGGCATGGTCAAAGTCCGCCTCCCGCAGCATCTAAAGTGCATTGATGGAGGCTTAAGAACTACTAGATTAAAAACGTATGTTTTACACCGCCATCAATATTGCTTAGAATAGATCAGGTAGTGAGGTATGCATCAGATCTGAGACATGGAGATGCTGGTTAAAACATCTACCTTGCGATTGAATAGAATATAACTCTTTTCCTTTGTGTCCAGTGAGAAGAGATTCGCCATTATACATACAATGCAGACGATATGGGTCTTATGTTTCGTAAACACATGACATCTGCCTTTGGCATTCCGAGCCCAAAGAATCTCTGTAGTGCACCTACCTATAAATAATATTGTGGTTGAAGTCATGTGTTTTTATGTTTTGCTTTTACTCGGCTTTGCATTGAAAGAGATAGGGGAGCAATGTATCTCAAGACATGACGTGGACATTTTTTTAACGCAAAGACGTGAGTTTCATGATCTAAGAATGAAAGACAAAGAAAAAAAAAAGCAATCTGATAGAAAATGCATAAGGGGCAAATGTGAAAATGAGAGCGGTTTAAATGTATTATCAAGAGGGAGGGGGGGGGGGTCGTTTTGTCTATTTGTAGACGAGGAGCAGGTGGGCTGACAGGATAAAGGACGGATGAACGGGGATGCCAGTTAATGTTGGATCCACAGAGTGGATGGATGGATGGATGGATGGATGGATGGATGGATGGATGGATGGATGGATGGATGGATGGATGGATGGATGGATGGATGGATTGATGGATGGATGTAAAGACGAATTGGAGACCAGACAGTAGGACAACGAGCGAATCTTTGTTTTAGGTTGTGATAACCTCTAACGTGCTAAAGATTTGAATAGTCCTACTTTACTTCGCCTTGCATGTTGCTGTTTTTTTGCATTGAATACCTACATGCGACATAATAATCTTGCAATCACTTTGTCTGACCTGAAACTTAGTCTTTCTATTTTGTGTTTTTACTACTCGTTTGTCTTTTTGTTTTGTTGTTGTTGTTTTTGGTTGTTGTTTTTTGGGGGGATGGTGTTGTTTTTCAATTTATGGTAAACATCTTGCTCGCGCTTGGCATTTTTGCTCCTGCTTCGACACTTGGATACTCGTCATGTATTGGAACTAGACATACCACTTTCTCCTACTTAACACTAAACTACCTGTTTTCCCAACCTCTTCCCAGGTCATGTTCGAGTTCTTCGCGAAGATTCTCTGCATGGACAGCCTGGTGCGTCCATTTCGTGACAAGACCATCTCGGAGTTGACGTCACGCCTGTGCGCTGACCGCATGCCATTCCTGGGGATGAACCTGAATGGCGACAACAGCAGCAAGTGGAACAAGAGCGACGGCCGCTCCTCCTCGGCCGAGGGACTGCTCACCGCACAGGGAGAGCCCGACCAGCATTTCGCCCAGCTCAACCTGATCAACTACCAGCTGGGGGAGCTGATGGAGTTCATCAAGTCTTATAAAGGACGTATCACCGAAAAAGACAGGAAAGATCGGGTGGCACGCGAGTGGAAAGCGGTCAGTTTGATCTTCGACCGCATCTTCTTCCTTATATACCTGACCACTATCATCACGTCGCTGTGTGTTGTGCTGCCCATCATCACCGAGCCAGAAATTCCCGGGCTGGGCAAGTCATGATACCGGCCCCCCGCCCCTCCACGCTTAATGCTCGCACGCACTTTGCGCTCTCGCATTACATACACACCTGAGGCAATGGTTCTCCTAGCCTCTGCTTTGCTTATTTACGCATCGCTATCATCCGGGGTCTTAGAAATAGTGGCTGAGCCGACTCGTACGCTCTACAAAACCTGGCGACTTTGAAGTACGGAAATGTGCTGCAGTGAGTCTGTGTACGTTTGGCGTAAGTTCAACTCACTCGTTATTACTGCGTCCTCTGGTGGCCGGCGGTCATTCCCACAAATCACCAAGGCTATATTATCATCCTTGCTACTGTTTAAATGTGATTCGTTGTGTCGTCATTGTTGTCTGTGATATGTCACGTACGTGGTGATTACACGTGCTGGTGTGGAAGCCTATTAAGATATTTTGTGCATGTGCTTGTTTGCGCGTGTGAAGGTGAGAGATAGAGAGAAGGACTCGAGGGAGAAGGAGAGGGCCGAATTAATTAACGTACAGTGCAGTCTGAGCAGACCTTACGAAACACTTACTTTTTTTTTCTTTTTTTTTTTTTTTTTTTTTTTTTGGGGGGGGGGGTGCCCCATTACTTGAGGAGGCCACAAAACATGATTCGGCAGTAGGTTTCTGTTTAAAATTCCCATCACGTGAAGAGGAGTGGTGAATCACGGATGTCTTGATCCTGTCAGTCGATTCAAATATCGTATTGGGGACCGTGTCATCTTGAATAAAAATATATCCACAATGTACAAAATTGACCACTGGCTTATGACGTGGCGCCACTTTGGATTTGACGACTGGCTGTTTGAGATACATCAACGAACTCGGTGAAAAGGCGACGTCTGCTTTCACCCCGGAATGTCACAGAACGGTAGTTGTATATTCATTGCTCTCAGCAATGGTTTGCCAAGTCGTGCAGAGTTGCAAAGGTCAGTATGTGCATCATAAAACGGAAGCTGTGGCTACACTGTCTCTAACTTAGTCTAACTTGCTTGTTGTTTTCTATTTTCTGAAGCTGAAGAACAGAACTAAAAGCCTTCTCGGCAAATTTTGGCGACATGAGAATTCTGCTGGTTCTTCTGTTGTTTGTTTGAGTGCAGTCAATGGAATGTGTAGTCTCGACAGAAAGTGTAAGAGTTGTACAACAACTTACCTTCTTTCAGTGGTACGAATAGCCATAATATATTTGTATACATATGCACTGTTTTTCATGATTGTATCAGACTGTATTAGTTCTTCTTCATACGTTACTGCAGGGGCGTTCTTGCTAACTTTGAGAGTATTATATTTATGAATATAGACTTGTGTTTATCTGTCTTTCTATCTATCGATCTAGGTCACTAGCTTGCTATTATAATTATATTTATATGTCTACCCATCTTCTCTGTCTGTCTTTCTGTCTGTCAACCCTACCTGCTTCGGCAGTTCGTTATCTATCCTAATCCTCCCTTTCCATTTATTCCTATTGTCTACCAAGTTAAAGTAACTTACATGTTTCTCTTCCTTTGTTTTACTCGTTACCTGTATCTGTCCCCCAGATCCCACACCCTCCTCTCCCTTCCTTCCCCCCCTCTCTCTCTCTCTCTCTCTCTCTCTCTCTCTCTCTCTCTCTCTCTCTCTCTCTCTCTCTCTCTCTCTCTCTCTCTCTCTCTCTCTCTCTCTCTCTCTCTGTGTCTCTCTCTCTCTCTCTGTGTCTTTCGCTGTCTGTCTGTCTGTCTGTCTGTCAGTCTGTCTGTCTGTCTGTCTGTCTGTCTGTCTGTCTGTCTGTCTGTCTGTCTGTCTGTCTGTCTGTCTGTCTGTCTGTCTGTCTCTCTCTCTCTCTTTATCTATCTATCTACCTATATATATATATATATATATATATATATATATATATATATATATATATATATATATATAATATATATATATATAATATATATAATATATATATATATATATATCGTTTCACCTCTTTATGGCTCCTAATTGTCCTTCCTTTTCTATCATATGAGTACAGGCTCATACACGAAAACAGATACGTGTATCCACAAATAGCGTTGCCCTGGCAGATAACCAGTGTGTGTCTTTAATGTGAAAAAACAAAAAGAGAATCTTTCTTCATCAGCTTTCTGCTGACAAACTGACTTCGTCCGGTGTCTGTGTTGCAACAGTTAGGCTTTCTGTGTGAGTTCCATCCTCGCATGATGAAGTTTATTTAATACAGTAATCCCGTCTTTCAGCTGAGGTTCACTCTTTAAGCCCCTATGGGTTCCCATAAAGAAGGCTGGAGTAGCTAAGCGTCTAAGCCGTGCCAGTAAAGTCGTAAGACAATTATAGCCTTAATTAAAGGTACGTTGACCGGTCATTAGTGCAACCACTAAGGGTTTCCACCCAAGAATACAACCTGCTTCCAAATTCATATCTTTTTGGATTCGAAATAAACTCTGAGGTCCACATTTAACATTTGGAGTTCTGGTCCACGTTGTATAAGATCTTTGTCTGAAATTACAAAAGCCACTTCCTACAAAGGTGTATAGATTCGCCATGGCTTTTTAAGGGTCGGTAGTTATAATATAATGATCTCATGCTCGCCTCTGGCTTACAAGAGAGTAAGGTATGAGTACAACATGTGTGTGAGAACAGTTAGAATTCAGACAACACAGAATTACTTAGCTGTATAGGGGTTTGGTTGTTTGTTTGTTTTTGTTTGTTTTTTTGTGTGTGTTTTTATTTTTTGGGTGTTTTTGGTTGTTGTTTTTTTGGGGGGGGGCGGTTTGGGGGGTGGGTTTTTGTTGTTGTTGTTTTGTTTTTTTTTGGGGGGGGTCTGTTCTAAAGAAACCAGTGCACCAACGTCCCAGTCTCAATCGAGAGGGGACAATTCACACGACCCTACAACGACGATGCGTTTTAGAAGGTGAAATATTATAATCTAGTCTGTTACTCAAAGCTCTCGTGATTTAACAGTATCATCATAATATTTTTTCATCGTGACTATGCAGAGTCGAGAAGTTATCAAACCAACATGAATTTCCTGATTGTATTGTAGACATGTTAGTGTTATGGTCACGAGATTTACTTTATGCTGTTATCCCAGCAGCAGACCCACATTCTGTAATGACGTTGAGCATTCACGGATTTCGACTTTGCAGTGGCGCCTGTGAGTACAGCTTGCACGCCCCTGTTTATAATTATATTCTATAACATATATTAACGTAAGTATGCAATGCCTCTCAATAGCAATAGTCTAACTGGTTGCATCAAATTAAGTGCCGCTGTGTCGGGTAGGTTACCACGTCATACATCATCTCCTCTGAAAAGCCCACCCTGGAATAGATGTTAAAAGGGCGAAGGGGTGGGTTGTTAGATCAGTTGTCAGTTTGTATCATGCTATACTACTAAGTGGACGACCCAGGTTCGAATCCCCAACAGGGCCTGCTTGAACTCGGCCCACTTTGTGGAGTTTTCAAGACTCTGAAACTTTGGTTCATATCGGAGACGGACGTTAAATTTGGAGGCCCAGCCTTTTAAATAACCTAACTGTGTTTAAAGGGTGTCAAACCCACGCACTTACTTATAGTTTATGGGATTTCAATTGCTAGTATTGACGTCTCTGACCAAGAACAACAGACGTGAAGGTTGTACGGCGCTCTTTTTTACTACAATATGTTTCCTGCTGATAACATATTACTTACCATTGGCATGTATTGTAACTTTAACGAGATATTGCAAAAACGTATTAAACTGTACGAAACCGAAAGAAATATTGTGTTTCAAATGTGAAAGTACAATTTGTTTTCATAGTAAGTGTAATGACACAGAACCTGAAGCTGTAAAATTCTAGGGAGAGGGGGGG